CTCAAAATTTAATTTTTACTTCAATAAAACATTTGAACCAGAAATGTTCTAAAATATATATAACTCAGACTGGACAAGTAAGGCAACTATTCCTGTGAACTTTTGCCTGGAATGAAATGTCCAGACAATAAACTGGCTTTCTGATTTTCAGACAGTTCCAAAAAACCCTGTCTTCCTCTAAGAAATGAAAACCTTTTATAGTTATTTTCAAGACAGAATCTGAGACCACTTCATAAAACAGACATAAATCTATATCTTTGGAATTATAATTTTCTTATTATTAAGTTTGTGCATTTCGAGGCAACTCCATTTGATGCCCGGATTAGTGTTATTTTGATATACAGGTTGAATTAAGGTTTCTTCATTGCATGTATTAAAATTTAATAGTTAGTTGGTCTCTCCAAATGATAATACATACACAGAGCAAGTGTATGTACCTCTCATGTGACCACATTCATCTAAAGCTAAAGCAGCAGTGTAGGAAGAGAAGCATGGAAGTCAGTGGTTGATGTGAAAATATTATCTTCTGGATGGTTTCCAGCAGGGTGACTGATTGTGGTGGCTCTCACTTTCATTACCACAAGAAAAATTGTTCAATGTATTTTAAATGTACATCCAATCTGATAGACACGGAATGTGAATTCAGTCACTTTTTCTCTGAGCAGGATCAATATGTCTGCAGCTGACTGGTATTTCTGAAGTTGTATATTAATTTTAAATAAATCTTCAGAATTGGTTACTTCACCTTTTTATTTTCTTTAACTTTAGTTTACTTCAATTTTGACACATATTTGTTTTCAAACCATTCATCAATGATAGTTCAGAAGTCAAACATAAGATGAGCTCTAAACTTGATTTATGATCAAACCGATTTCCTTTAAAAGGCACTGACCCATCAATCCCCATTGTTTTTAAAGAGGAATATACCAATTTTGATTAAATGATTTCTTGACTCTAAAGCAGTGGGGGTGGACAGTGGGGGGTGGGGAGGGATGGTGAGAGGGTGGTGAAAAACAAAAGCAAAAAAAAAAACTGAGAAGGAAAGAGAAAGAAAAAAACAAAAGGGAAGAAGGGAGAAGTGAATCCATGTATGAGTAGATAATAATATCCAGGAACTAAGGCTCTTGCCAAGACACTTGAGAATTCCCTTATGCAAGAACAGGAACCCAAGCACTCTGTTCCTCCTGTGTGACAGCCATGTAGATAAGTACTACCTGGTGGGAAGAGGATCTTCTCTTTATATTTTTAAACATATTCAAAGGATTTTTGTTCTTTACATACAATATAGAACAGGAAGTGCTTTCAAATCATAGATATTTTTGTAGGACATGAAAATTATTGCCTTTGTGTGTCTATTTATAAAAAAAAGAATAAAAGGTATTTAACTTATTTAAGAGACCAGACACAGTTGTGAGTTTATAAATTTTGTTGGGGTCTTGCTATATAGCAAAATTTTATAATCAAATGATTAAATTATGCTTTTTCTTTTCAGTTTAGTAGATAACTGTGGCTCAATATATCTGTCTGAAACTAATATTGATTTTGAACAGATTCTCACACAGCCTAGTTAAGAAGTTATTCCCCATGATTTTAAGGATATGAAAAAGTTATCAGGAGATACAGAGGTCTACACCAGAGTTTCTAAACTAAACTAGGATTGCAGGAAATCTGCAGCACCTAAAGAAAGTCCCACCTCTTCCTCAGTCCACTGGAATTAATATGCCAGAATGTACTTACATATATTTTCAGGCTAAGAAATTAATCAAATAACAGACACTAAAGGCCCTGTTTGACTGAGGAAAAGTTTCAGATCACCTTGTAAAACTTGATATTCAAGCACATATAGTTATTAAAATTCTTTTCCTTGCCTGTATAACTCATATTCACAGTAGTTCCCTACAGTCTAAAGCTCTGGAAGGCAGAGTATCCAAGGATATTTTTACTTTTCTGGACAGGTGAAGGAGTTGGCCCTGGAAAATTTGATTGCTTATAGGACAGACATACAACAGTGTGAGGCTGGTATACATCTAAAGGAATGCAATGCTGGGATACTTTCCCCAGTTTAGAACTTTTAGAGCTGTGTTGTCTTACTAAATATAAATTGTTCCTATCTACAAACATTGGTAACTCTCCCATTAAAATAACCATATGTCACAAGTAACTTCTATTATATCTTTGTTTTACTATTGATTAGGGGGGTTTTGTACTCCAGGGGGATGGGGCAGAGTGCACTCTAAGCAAAATGGGAGGAATGGGTGATGAAGTAGAGAACAGAGATGCTCCTTCAGGAAACCTTGAAAAGTTGGAGAAAATCATGGAGTCTAACAAAGGCAAATGCAACATCTCGGTCTAGAAGTGGAATAATCTCATGCATCAGAGCAGAACCTGGGACTGACTGAGTAGGAAAAAGCTTTGCATGAATGGTCCTGTCAGCTCAAGTGGACAATAAGTTGGGCATGAGCTGGTGAAGCCCAACTGCACAGCTCTTGGCAAGACTTTAGCCAGCATGTCCAGGAGGGTGATCCTTCCAGTCCTGTAGTGTCAGTGAGGCCACACCTGGCACACTGAGAAATTTTCAGCTTTCTGCCGTTCAAAAAGACAATTGTACTGAACCGAGTCCAGTGCAGGGCCACTGGGTGGTTGGCAGCTGGAACACCCGAAGTGGTGAAATCTGCACCCACTGAGATGTTCAAAATGTGACTGGATGAGGTCCTGACAACCTGCTCTATTGGACCTGCTTCCAGCTGGAGGCTGGGTCACTCAGCTTCCAAAGGATCCTTCCACCTTCATGCTCCTGTGATTCTGATACAGAATCACATACATACAGAGTTATGTGTCTAATTTATTGTTTTCAGTAGCATTTTATTTGTTAAATGATGTATTAAATCTCATAAACTAAACTGGGAAAAAAATTTACAACAACTTCACACTCCTGTCAAAGTATAATTTATCTCCACACAACCAGACCTTGTTCATTTAAAATAAGAAATCTGCTTAAAGACCTGAGATACAGGATCATAAAAGTAACGTTGATCTTTGCTTTAACTGTTAAAAATGCTGGGTTCTAATCTATTTATTCATTGCATTCAGATTAACTCCACAAGTTACTATATCTTTACTTACAATGAGGGAACTTTGCTCACAGTTTCAAAACAGACTTAGAAAAACAGTGACTCAGAAGACATTATCTGATGAATAATAATTGAGTTGAGAATGACAGAAATGCAAAATTAAATTTAAATTCATAGTAGATGCTTAAAAAATGGCAATGTGCTGATGAATTATGAGCCTTTACAAAGAAGTTAAGAAATGGGAATGACTAACTTTACAGTTTAAGAAGAAAATATATTTTGAATTCTTTTCCCTTCCACCCACTTAGCCTTTAAGGAAAAAAAAATAAAAAGAGAGAAAGAAAAACAGATAAAAAGAATTAGCATTAGTGCAAAAAAAAGTAGCAAGCCAGAGATGATGCCAAAAACCTTTCAGCTCTCTCCAAAGCCTGTAGTGCAGAATGATTTCCCATAGAGACTAGGAGCTGTGAGAAGAATGAACTGAGAGAAGGTTTTTGGCCCAAGTACACGTGTTTTACCACTCCACTGAATTTTGATTCTTTGCTGAATCTGATGGGCTAACACCTTAGATACAACTGAGTGAGTTTATGCTTTTATCATATAAAGGATAATCTCTGTAAAGCAGAAACACGAGTTGGTTCCATTGGTTCCATTCCATAATTGTTGCAAAGTTGAAATTAATGCTGTACCTTTTAAAGAACATTGATAATTTACTAAAAGACCAGAGGAAACACAATGAAGAGAATGCAAATAAACTTCTCCTGCTATTCCACTGACAGGAGACAAGTGTGTTTAGTAGATTAAGCCTGTACACATATGGGTATGTGTGTGTGTCAGTAAGAAAAGGAGCATTGATTTTGACAAGTTGAAGGGAACAAATATTCTAGAGCTATATCAAAATGTCAAATGTATTTTAAATCTGCGACAGCCCATAATCTGTGTTAAGAACTGAAGTATGAATTGATGTTGAAAAGCAGAATATCAAAATGTTGCAGGTGACTAGAAAAGTTGGAAATTTCCCATGAATATTTACTACCAGTATTAAACAGGAAAAAAAAAACATTCTTTTTGTTTCAAATGGCATGTACTCATCTCTCAGACATAGTTAAAAGTACACTTGCTAACAACAACAAAAGTAGTAATAATCAATGTCATGTCTATGAATTAAGTAGACAGATGTTATATGTAGTAGAATAGCATGATTAATATACATGGATGGCTTGAACACATTTCAACAGCCTTCAGAAGGTTTTTAACCACTATAAACAATTTCTAATTTCTATTCCATTATTGCATAAGTCTAATAATATTATTTCAGGCTAGACTAAAAGGAAAAAGGGAAGCCATCATATTAGGAATCTTGACATTATTTCATTATATCAATTCCTTGGATTTTAAAAACAGCCTTTTTCTAGTACTCCACTTTACAAAGTTTCAGTGTTGGGTATATCTTTTGAAATAAAATTTTCATCAAATGTTCAAAATTTTTCTAGAGTAACTTATCTGTCTTTTAATGACTATACATTATAGAAAAATAATTAAATATCACAGCAAACTGTGAAATTCTGAATAATATTTACAAAAAAAGAAAATTGCCATGTCAGTGCATTTTTGGTTTGGGTTTTTTTCATGGTTGGTTGGTTTGGGGGCTTTTGTTGTTTTTGTTTTATTGCTTGGTTGCATTTTTGGTGGGTTTTTCTTTCTTTGTTTTTGTGGGGGGTTAAAGAGAATATTTTTTTTAATACAAGGGCCTTTAATTTTGGAGCTATATTTACTGTCTAAGGAAAAACATTTACAGTTACTGAAGGCATAAACATTATTAAAACAATAGAAACCCAAAACCTTCTTGAAATAATAGGTATAAAACCAAGTCTTAGTCTACCCAATAATAATCAGAACACTACATATGTGAATTTCTTTCTTTTCTAGCGCCACTAACAGATAAACCACCAAAGCTTTTACACCCCTTGGAGAGTAAGCTAACAATTCAGGAGACCCAGTTAGGTAAGTAGCAAACAGAACCTCTGTTCAAATTGTATGAAGGAATTTGATGTGTAAATGTATGATGGCAATGTGATGGCATGCTGATATTAATAATTTAATTGAAAAGACACTAAACGTATGTTGATTCCATGCAGAAATGTATGATATATCATTGACAAGATTGTTGTTGGCAAAAAAAATCTTAATAATTAATACTGAATGCTAAGCTTTTGGTTACTGATAGTAGGTTTTATCTTGCTGAAAGTCAACGGTGACCAGAGTATCCGAACTTTTCTTTCTATACTTTCCCTTCTTTGTATATTTATACATATTTACTCTGGGATCCATTGGGATTTTGTGGTTTAAGTTCTGCTTAGAAGACTTCTGTGCTCTGTTGGCAGCAAAGATATTTTCATAATTACAAAGGTTGTGCTGGGCAAATCATCCAGCAAACATTAGTGCTATCATAATAGCATCTGATAATTCTGAATGTATGGATATTTATGCATAGATGAATTAAGAGAAATTGATGCATGAAGAAAGTATTTTGTTTCATGTATGATTGATCACTTTTGTGTCCTACTGCTGCAGAGGAAATGAGGGCTCCAAAACTGAGTGCATGAGTTACTAGATTTTGCAGGATATAGCAATTTATCTCTTTTGTGGATTGGCAATGAGGGCAACTTGTAAGAAACAAACAGTAGGCCACACTGGAATTATGCTTTGGTGTCAGAACAGTAACCTATTGATAGATTTTCTAGCAGGTTGGATACAGGAGAAAATGGAAACCAATCTGGTGGAAACAAATCTCGTAGGAAAAAGTATATATAAATCTCATAGAAAAAAATACAGCAAGTAAAGCTCAGTACATTCTGCAACACAACATCAGAAAAAGCAGAAGGCTTGCAAATTAATTCTGACAGTCATTGGCAGAGAATTTTATGGTGATTACAATCTTATGGCTAATAGTGGCCAGAGAATAACTCATATTTTCTTTGCTATAAGTAAACTATTACTTTGAATGATTCAGACTATCCAGGTAAATTTCTGATATGCTGATATACAAGGGGTTTTTTTAGAAACTATTTTATAGAAAAGGAGGTGTGTAGCATGTTTCCTTCTAGAGCTACTTTCTATTGTTCTGAAGGTATTGTTTCTGAACACTGATTCAGAAAATCTTTCCTGTATGCCAGTCCTCAATGATTTTCAGTTGTTTGTACACAAGACTAGGAAACAGAGAACAAAGTGACTGCACTTTTTTTTTAACTAATGTTGCTTACTGAGATATTTTTGTTGAAATAAAAGGAAAAAAAAAAACAAAATCAAAAGGTAGAACTTTTCTGGGCTTTGATGTTGTCCTGCTAAATATACTGCATGGTAAGGCTATTTCAAGAAGAGTGTAATTTTTAATGGCTAGCTAGAGGCTTTTTGTACATTAATCTCAGTTATGATTTCTCATAGTTCTAAGAAACATATCAAATAATTTGAAAAGAGCTGGGTTTGAAAAATACCTTCTTCAGAAAACTAAATAGTTGTGGGTTAATATAAAAGAGTTAACTTGAAAACATTGCTTTCTGACACAGATGGGAAAGTCTGACCATAAATTTATGTGAAGTTACAGTACTTAGCCTTATATCAAGAAGCTACAATAAAGTATTAATTTGTTGTTTAAAAACCTGTGAAAAACCTTTGAGAACTGGAACAAGTGAAAAAAAAATTATAGTTCCCTAACACAAAAACTGTGTTTTTCTGCTTTTAGATTTAATGCTTTAGTTGTGCTGGATAACCTTTGAAAGGTCTATTTTTCCCTGAGGACAGCCAGTGTTCATTTCAGGGGGTCAGTTCATACCTTACAAAGATGCAGAATATTTTAATGTTGGAATAATGCCAAGGTTCACTTAGATAGCTGTTGAAGCTAGGACAATTCTACTCAGCTGAGGCTTGGGGTGGCCACATTTTGTGGCCAGTCTAGACACTGCCAGAAAATGTTAGTCCTCCAGAATGTATTTGGGGATGGTGTGTTTGTCATTTACTTGGAAAATAGAAGTGTTGGTGGATGCTGGAGAAGTGGAATGCATGATATTCCCATTCCCAAAGAGAACATAGAGCAAGGAGCTAGGAGCTTGGGGCAGCCCAGGATTTCTTTAGCAGGTAACCAATTGCTGGGGAGCTGGGGCAAGCCCTGCTCTGCTGCCACATTTCTGTCCTTCTCACCTTGCAGAGTTGGAGACGAAAGAGGTTAAGTGTGTGTGTCAGGGAATGCTCTGGGAGGTTGTACCTACCTTACAGGGGTGTGTAGCTCCAGGTGCACACGATGAACTAAAAAGTCAATAGTGATTGTTCACCTCCAAATCTTCCCCTGCTGTTCCCCTGCTCCACAGACCCCTGTGGAGCAGTGCTGGGTACACTCCTGAGAAAGACCTCAGTAAAACCAGTGTATTTCTGTTGAAAGAATTACTGGAATTCAGTTCTTAAACAGAACACCTCCATGAAGTATCTAAATAGGGGTGTATTTAACTCCCAAGACATATCTAAGACGCATCTTATTCACTGATGGGTGACAGACATATGAGGCACAGTGGGTTCTTTATACACAGCAATTAAAACTAATGCCATGGGACCACAAACCTGTTGTGTTATTATCCTGCTTGGCTTCCATAAAACAGCATCAGAACAGGATGTGACTGCAGGGAGGAGTTTCTCTAAGGGGTGACTGATACTACTTAAGTCAGACTTGCTGAGGCAAAAGGTGAGAAAACAGAGCTGGAGAATCTGCAGATCTCAATCCTAGGAACTCACGGGTTCCCATTGTGTTCCAGGTATCCAGAGCTGTTTGAGGAAAATGTGTCATGCTATTCAGCTGGTATTTGGGAGTGTGTTAAGCATGGCCGTGCTGCAACCAGCAACTTTGGAGGGTCACAAGTGTCTTGATATATCATCAGAAATATCTGTTTATTTCACTGAATAGTAACCAGAAACACACGAGATGGAAGCACAGGATAAAAATTGAAGGAGAATTTAATTTCTCAAAAGCTTTTATATAAAATAGCATGGAAAAGCTAGGGAATGAAGTAAAAAACCCAGATGAGGAAAGAAAGATTAGTTTCTGGACTTCATGTTTTCTGTTTGTTACTTCGTTTCCAATTTTGCAATCAATTACTTAATCCTGTTGCAAGGATAAAAAATGCTAATTACATTTAAGCTTTTCTCCAGATAAAAAGTCTTCTAGGTAGATATGTGACCCCACTACAAACTACTTCTCTGGAAACAGCAACTCCAGATTAAATATTATGTAAAACACACTCTTCAAAAGATTGTGTCCTGCAAAGCTTGGAGGCGTAAGAAGACAAAGAGTGTTTTCAGCTCCGAGCCATTCTGTGGTTTGGCAGCATCATGGGCCAGGGAGAAAAAGCAACAAGCAGGAGGCCAGGGGAGGCAAGGCATGAGAATGAGGAACATAATGACCAAGGAACTGAATTCCACAGTATTCTTCTTACCTTCAACATGCTAGCCAAATCAAATGTAAAAATCCCTAATAACATAGGACCCCTTTGTAATAATAGTGAAAATACAAACCTGAAAAGACTAACACAGACCTGTTCAGGAAGGAGTTAATTAGCATTGTTCCTTATATATCAGAAATACTAAAACTGTGTGCAACTATATTTTTAATTTTAGAGTCATACAGATGTTACGTATTTATGATAGAAATATATCATATCCATTATATGAACATTTACTTTAAACTTATATTCTGGGATTTTTTTACTGGCAAGTTCTGAGTCTTTTCAATTTCACCTTTCAGGTTACAGTGTTTTTCACACCAACACTGTCCTATCTGCCCCCATCAAGGAAACAAAGATTACTATTAACCTGACTCAAAAAAGTCAGATTTTATTAACCAGTTGGTTCGTGTCATGTTACTAAAGAAGACAAATGTGATTCCATAACAGACAATAATGGATCTGGATTAAAAATTACAAAACATGAAATAATTATTTTAAACACCTCACAAGCTAGTTAGCCTCTGTCCTCCCCGTTTTTCCATATGCTGGTTCTGCATGGGGATGTAATTTGACATATCAAAATTCACTCAGAAAAATAAAGCTATTGTTGAATTATTTTTAGCTAAATAGGCTTGATTTTGGAAAAGAGAAACAAACAAACAACCCCTCAAAAACAAACAAACAAAAAAATCCCAAAAATCACAAACAAAAAAAGGAATAAAGTATTTTCAGCACTCTAGTAATGGACCTAAAATTGGACCTAAAACATAATTTTGTACAAGAACTAAGAGACTTTCCCTGTCATCTGAATAAAGTGAATTTTCCTAACTTTTATCCAATGTAAAACATTACTTGTGACCAAGTACAGAGTGAATACCTGTCCTGTTTTTATCCAGGGCATTATTTTGATAAAATTAAATTAACTGTTACATAATGAATTGGGGATTTCTTATTTCTCACCCTTCCCTGCACAGATTCAAGATAAAAATTCTTTGAAAAACATTTAGTATATTATTTCTAAGGTAGTAATAGGAAGAAGCTCCCCATCAGGGAAAGAAGAATGCTGGTTCCTTTACAGCACTGTGTTGTCATAAAAATTTTCCACAGAAATTGACCTTGTTAATGACAAAAGCCATCCCTAACTAGATTAATCAGTAGATGTATAAATAAATTAACTAAAGTGATATGCAATAATTAGCAATCAGTGACTCCTTTCAGGACGGAAATTGAATTGAAAGAATATTGAGAATTTTTATTTCTACAAATTACATATAAATGCTTTATTCATTCTGCAGCACAAAGATTGTTTTTCCATTGTATGAAGAATTTCAAGTTTATATGCTTACATCAACTGTCTTTTAAAAAAATTGTACCTTTTTTGGATCATGTGTTTCAATTGGACACTAGCTCTTTGATATATTCTGATTAGATTAACATAATATGGGCAACAGTTTCACATGAGAATAATTAAAACAGTAAATTCAAAATTTACTTCCCCAATGTCATGCAATTTCT